CAGGGGAAACAATCAGCACCTTCATAGTTGATAAGCACGTATTAAAATGGAGAAAATAATTGTTTGCCTTGTTACCTTTTCAAGTTGAACTGCTGTTCCCTTGTACATAATTTCTAGGTAATTACAGGTCAGGATGAAGTAATTAGATGACAGAACTTTGAAAAATAACAACTTGCCTTTTTATCATGAATTAAAAGGAAGTAAGAAGACGACGTCACTCCTTGGAAATGAATATTTGGCTTTATAGTTCATTAGTGTGACAGATCATATTTCAGATTTCAAACTTGAATTCTGATTTGCCCCCTTCATGTTTCATCCTCTCTTCATTGGGCATGAAAGCTGAAACATGAAGCCTTGGTTCCCTGAATCACATCTGAAATTCTGAAAGAAGATTGGCATGAATTCTGTCCTTCATCTTAATGCAGTATTTCATGAACCTATGTACTCAGCTTTATGCTTCTAGTACACTGAGCTCTGGATTAAAAAAAAAAAAAGTGTTTATGCATTTCATTATATTCAGGTGTGTTTGACTGAATCCCCTAGGTCTCGAGTGGTCATGGTGAGACAGTAGCTGTCTTCATTTGTTCTTCATCTTGGCCTTGAACTTGAAGGAGGAGATGGGGGTATATAATACAGTCTTGCATAAGTGACTGGGATTCGTAGTTATCCTGAATTTGACATGTCATTTATGAAGTACTAATTAATTTCAGTGTGTTAGCAGTGTGGCTTTTTCTTGCTACTACCTTAGATTCATCAAGCCTAATTTTTACTTTCAGCACCTCTGCCTGTTCCCTGTTAGCTAACTCTGTGCCTTCAGTATTTCCTTTCCAGTAGGAAACACTAAGCACAGGGGATAAAATGAAATGAAAAAGAAGCTGAGGACAGGCCACAGTGATGTATGTTTGATCATATTAAACTTACTCCTTTTGTCATCTCATAAATGAAATTACGGCCTGACATAAAATGTCTGATTTGAACTTCAGTACCTGCAAGATGGATGCAAGTCTTTATTTAAAGTATCTAATGAATTCTGGTATATATGATCAAGTTCTTACTCCAGTTTTATAGTCTTAAAGAAGCTCACTTAGATTAGGTTTTCTTTAATGAGTACACTTTCAGATTCTAAATTTTTATATATAAAATAATTTGTTAATTAAAATGCATGTCATTGTTGGAAAAGACAATTTGGGCCTCCACATCAAGGAACACATGAAAAAAAGCTGTCCTGTGTTTGACACCAGTTAAATGCACGTTTTAATTCAGTTGTCAGCTGCAGAGAGAATAGTCAGAGCTAATTGGAAGTAAGGGAGGTTAAGAAACTGAACTTGAAAAGGCAGGAAGGTTTTCTGGAAGCGAAACTAGGTTGGAGGATGAGATCTGCTAACTCTAAGCTTTATTTAACTGGGCCAGAGTTTTAAAGGGCTTTACAGTTAGATGTCTACCACATAGGTGGTGTTAAAAAGTTGACTGACTTGCACTGCCTTAATATTTTGTGGCTTCTTTCAAGTGCTGAGATGCTATAAAAACTGTTTTGAATGGAATCTGTTTTTCCATCAAATAAATTTTTGTGGATTTATTAAGCAAAACTGCAAATGCCAAAAGTAACTTGGTACATTTAAACAACTTCTTACTCTCCTAGATTGTTTAAAAACAACAACAAAAAAAGACAAAATAATTCAACTTGGCATTCAGATTTTCATTTGAAATCAGTCATAAATAGTTGCAAGCTTACATTTCACTTCACAGTGAAGTAGTTGTGTTTAAAGTCAAAGATTTTATGCCACTGTATGTTAATAAAAATGTCTGCTCAGTCTTTACTGCTGCAAAAATGTGCCTGCTTAATTTGAAGCGTTACTAGTCTGATCATTCATGTGAGAAGTAATTGAGCAATTTGATGCTATGTTGAACTTGTGTTTCTTGGCTATTAATCTCCATTTGGCCAATGGTGGACATTGGGAAGTATGAGATGAGTCATTCTCACAGTCATCTTGCCTGCTAGCAGCACAGTATGGAGCAGTCTGGTTCTCTGTGCTGAGCAATAGTGCCTTAAATCTCGTAAGTGAGGCTAAATAGAGAAGTACTGCTTACCAAACCAGGTTATGTACGTGCTCAAAAAAATTGAGTCAAGACTTCAGATTTCAGGCTTTTTTTCTCCTGGTGGCTGTTTGCGATGTAGACAGTGTATTGTCATTATTGTCATGTTTAGTCCCCTTCTCCATCCCACTTTGCTTAGTTTTATACCTTTACCTGAAGTTATAGTAATGCAGACTGTCAAAGTGGTTTTGTCAGGACGGGTATCTCCCAGTGTATCTGTCAGTGGTGTTTCTTGAGGTTTCAGAGCAAGATTTGAAGATGCCAAGTTAAAAAGTGTTGCCAAATTAGAAGTAGATTAAATTACTGTAATATCATTGAGACTTATGTGTCCACAATTCGGTATAATTTGGCATAGAATCATGTATCCTTAGTCCACAAATCTTAATTTTCTATCTCAGTTGTTATTGTTTTCTTGAAGTCAGTACCTGATTTCTCCACTTCCCCTCCCTGTTCTCCCTCCACTCCCCACATGTTGCTTTTGCTCCTTCAACTCTGGCTGGTATTTTAACATTTTCTCTGAATTACTCCCTATTTAATTTGCAGGGGTTGTTAGGGCTGGAGGAAACCTGGCTGATAATTGTTGTAACTCTTGCAGTTTTATTCATTGACCAGTCTGTCTAGGTTTTTTTTGTTGGGGTCTTTTTGTTTTGCTTGCTTGTTTTGTTGTTTTTTTGTTTTGCTTTGGTTTTCTTTTTTTTCGTAATGGTTTTGTGGTTAATGTGGTTTGAGAATGTTTCTGTAAAAAGATAATATAAAGGAGAGCTGTAGAGAAGATTTGTATCAAAGTTGTTACACTGGAAATTTGGCTGATGTTTTTACAGTTGATCGGGAATTTGGAAAGTATGCCCGAAGACTGTGTAGTTGTTGTGAAGGATGCACGTGGTCCATTACATTCTTCAGTTAATGTAAATACAGTGCGAATGTTTACAGTCGCATTTTTCATAGTGTTGACATGCTTTAGGACAGATGTTATCTTAGGAGTTAATTTGGTATCCACTCAAAATGACGCAGTATCGCTTTAGCTAGAACAGCATTTGATTTTGAGGAAAAGTATTGTTTTACCACCGTAATGCTGTTGAGTAAAAATGTTGCAGGACCATTCTCTGACTGATGCAGTGTATACGCACGTGACAAATTCTACGTGGAATTCTGTTTAATTTTGGAAGCCTGACTGCATTTTGGTTTAACCTGGTTTATGTATTTCTGTACCACACTGGAGCGTAGCATGTATCTTGTCCTACAAAAAGTATGAATCCTCCAGTCACCCTTGAGTACTTTTTTCCCCCACTTTCTCGTAATTGCCTTCATTTCCCTACTGTGCTTCTTTATTATGTCTTCTGCGTTTGCTGCTGCTTTGAACCAAGTTACTGATCTCCCTTTACAGAGTTGAAAACTGTACAAGCACTGTAGGTATGGGACTGGAAGGGTATAAACTGAAAGGCCTTAATCCATGGAGAAAATGCAAACAAGAAGCTCCTTTGCTGAAAATGCTGGTATTCTTGTTGACTGAAAAGTTTCCTCTCTCTTTAAAAGTTGGAAGCCCCCAGACTGGCTTACGGAATTGAAGAACCACCACAGTAGTTAAATCTCTGAATTGGCAAATGTGTGCTTCTGCTGGTCTAGCATAGACTTCAGCCACTGACTGAATAAACTGGTAGCTGAAGTTACTTGCTTCATGTGGTTGCTTATTAGAAAATGTTCAAATATGGAACCTCAATAACATACTGTTTACAAACCTGAAAATTAGTAAAGAAGTTTTCATGGTACTGTATTGGCAAAATGCTGAACAAAAGTAGGAAGGTACTGAGTGGAGTCTTTTGCAACTCTGACATTGCATGGATTTGCATGTAGCTGAGTTTCAGAAAGCTGTCTGCCAAAAGTCTGGAAGTCTTGGGGGAAGCCGATCTTGTAGGGAGATTTTTGTAAATGCATTTGAGAATTTGAAAGTAAGAATTAACGCAAAGAGAGAGGTTTCGGAAGTCTCTTCTGCAAAGGTCTCCTGTAAAAAATAGAAAATTGCCTTTTTTTTTTTTTTTTTTTCTTCCTTTAATATTTTACATTGCATGGGGATATGCAGTTCTGGGCACTGATGTACCTGAGAGCATTTTGGTACATGGAATTTCAGAGAGAAGACACACAGGATTGATAGTTTTATTGCAAGGGTTACTTTTTTCCTTGTAATTCTACAATGGAGATGAGATTATTAAAATCACTTGCTGTGTTTTATTTGGTACAATCGTTGAACTACATATTACCATACTCCTTTAAAAGATACTATTGATCCATCCACTGTGTTCATTTGGATACATCTGAGGCTGTCAGTGTTGTGGAAGGCTTGTTTCCAATTCTTGGAGATTTTAAGCAGTAGTTGCTTTATGCATGTTTTGTATAAATTGTGTTTTCCTCTCCACTTTGCCTATATGCCAGTAACTGTACAGAAAGGAATGGTATTTCATGTATATGTCCTATTGTGGAGTCTTTTGTTACCCTTAATTGTATGAATGACAAATGCTGTCTGGGGGAGAGAGATGGTTGCAAATTAAATGCTTGAAGAGAAGATGTACAAGTTTTATAGCTTAATTTTTATCCATGTATACTGTGTAATTGATAGTTCCTAAATTTTAACCTTATGCTGTTTATTTTTGCTAGGAGTACTCTGATACCAATACCTGACAACATCTTTGCTAGTGTTACCTTGGTGAAAACAGGCTGGAGTTACCTCTCTTAGTTTCATTGTTTGTGTCTTTGGTAAAACATGGTGGGTTTTGCAGGCTGTGTTTTAAGAGTCTAGCCTTTATCATCTGTTGATTAGCTACAGTGTTTGGTATTTGAGTGGAACTAAAGCTAAGTAAAATGCTGAAATGTAATTGTTATAGGCTTAATTTTTTTTATTGTTTTACTTTTAGAACAAATTCTGTACAACATAAAACAGGAGTATAAACGCATGCAGAAGAGGAGACACTTAGAAAATAGCTTCCAGCAGACAGATCCTTGTTGTTCTACTGATGCACAGCCACATGCATTTCTTCTTACTGGACCAGCTTTGCCAGGTACCCAGAAAATTCTGTGTAATTCTGCTGTGGGTTTTTAGACTCTGCATAAATAATTTCCTCTAGTTACCTGGCGGTTTATGGCACCTTCTTACTACTTACTGTTGCTTTTTATTTTTTCAATACTAGCATTGATCTGGAGGATTGTAGCTTCTCATTTTAAGAATCATTAGGACACAAAGCTTGCACTGTTTTCAAGAGACCATTCTATGTACCCTGCTACTGATACTGTAATAGGCGCTTGCAAAGCAGCAATCTGCACAAATTACTGTGCTGTAATTTTTACATAAAGTAGAAGCTTAAGTTTGTAAATGGCAACTGCTGTGTAAATAATGTTCACAGGGTTTGTGTAACACTCTTGGTATGATATTTTGTTTCCCTTGCATATTGTCCATTGTAGATGTCATCTTCTGAGTGTCCAGTTTTACTTTAATAGTAATTAGAAGTGTTCAAACAGCAGAGAAAGACTTCTCCAAATATTTTGTGAAGTTCCTTTAACGTAAAGATGGGAATAAAAATTATTATAAAAAAGGTTCTGAACTACTTGTACGTGTAAATTGGTATGCCCAAATATTTAATCTTAGGTACTTCATCTGCAGCATCATCACCATTGAAAAAAGAACAGCCCCTGTTTACTCTCAGACAAGTTGGAATGATCTGTGAACGTTTGCTGAAAGAACGTGAAGAGAAAATCCGTGAAGAGTATGAAGAAATTTTGACCACAAAACTTGCAGGTATATTGTAGTTCAAAATAATGTGTTAGGATGAATTCGTAAGCTTAACATTTTTGTGTTATGCTGTATTTTTTTTCTTACTTAATTGATCAAGGAATGAGATTGCATGCAGGACAGAAAAAATGATGTGTAGACTCTTTGATAGTTTTTTTTCCTTTTCTGCTGCCTTGGATAGAAACTGACTCCTGTGTATTACTAATCAATGGAAACAGTGGTTTTATTTCAGATAGAACTTTCTCTTGCTATCATGTCCGAATTGATCATTTCCTCCTCATTTTTTTTTTTTTTTGCCAGAAAGACTTTCTATTCTACTGGCTTAAGAGTTTCTTTGTGAAGGACTTTTTTTTTTTTTTTTTTTTTTTTCCTGCTTGGGAACTGACTTCCTTTTTCTGGAATTTGGCAAGATGACAGTACCTAAGATTTCCCTTTCTCTTCCCAGTACTTACCATTACAGTGCTGCCAGTGGTGTTTGGTATATGCCTGAGTGTCAGTAGTTCAGCTGCATTTCTGATGCTCTGTCTTGAATTGTATTTCACATCATTCAGCTGATATTTTTGGCACCTGATGCCAATTTTCCTTTCCATAAGGATCATGTGAATGTTGGCATTGTAAATATGACCTTTCTTTAGTTGTTGAAGTCCTCAACTTCTAAGCATCTTGCTAGCATTTGAGCACCTAAATACTGGTGCATTCAGAGGTAGGTGCTTTCGCAGTGTGATTCAGCGTCTAATTTAATACTTAGTGTGATGATAATGAACACCCTAGTGCACTCTTTAGCAGCAGACCTGCTTTTGAATACCCATGGCTGTTCTTGCTTCCCACCTGAAAACGCATCAGAATTAAAGTTTGCAGATCTCTTCAGGTGTGGGAATAAAACCTTCTACAGGCATGCCCCTGTAGAAAGTCACCAGACATATGTCAGGCTTGTGGGTTGCCTGTGACAGTATTGTCTCTGCACCTGAGCCTTTGTTCATATTCTGTGCTTGCTGATCTGCCATTGCTATGTAAGAAATTGGTATAGTTTTAAGCCCCTCATATAGTGTATTTACAACTATAACTAGAGCCCTAAATACTTCTGTTGCTTTGGGCCTAATATTCCATTTCTATGTTTTTTTTTAAACCTGCTTCAGGCTGATGAATTGGGAGTCTGTAGATTTTTTTTCTCCTAACTTATGTATGTTAGGAATTGGGTCATTGCTTGCATTCTCTTAAATGCATTTCAGTTAGCAGTGATCATAATAACTATTTGAAGACCAGATATATTTATGTTTGTTCCAGACACTTTCTGAGTACAAACTTGTAGTTCTTTACAAGCAGGAACCCCTCTGGCAAGTTCCTTACATGTGCTCCATCTGTCATCCCCAAAGGGAACATTATCTTTTTTGGTTCTGTTTTGAGGAAGGGAGGAGGATGATTTTTGTTTGGGGGGTTGTGGTTTATAGTGAGATGAGTTAGGTTTGCTTATTCTTACAATGGTGGTCAACAAAAGAGCTATTAGAGAGATTGTGTTACTGCATCCCGTATATCAAACCAATAATACATTCTCAGCATTATATGCTGAAATATAATTTAGAAAGACGGCCAAAAGAGTTTAGAAATTCCATACATAGAAGGCCAGTTATGTTTTTCTGCTGACAGAATGGTTATATCCTTTTCTAAACTTTGTACAGTAAGGTGATACTCATTCTTACAAACTAGTGAAGTCAATGGAAATGTAACTGGAAATTCTGTAATAAATCTCAGTTGAACAGCTTCTTTCAAGTGACTTAACTGAATGTTTGAATCTCAGATATCTTCTTCATTCCTTTCTGAATCATGATTTTCTTGTAAGTAGTTAGATACTGTTTTTTTTCTTCTCCTGTGTTCTTTGTGAGTAGAGTTGCTTTTCATGCAGAGTGAGTGTTTGATAAATGGAAAACTCAGATCACTGTTATGCCCTGATTTCCCCTCCTGCCTCTGTTACCCGAAACTGCTGTGTTAGCATAAACTTGGGTTTGCAAGATCCTTTGCAGATTTTAAAAACAGAGAAAGGAGTATAAGGGGCTAAGTGAAACTTCAGCTTGAAAGGTTTTCTACAGTCTGTTTGTGGAAAAGCAGCTTTTTGTACTAAAGGTCAAGTCGTAGAGTATAGTAATCATACTCGTATCGTATTTGTGTCATTTAGCTACTTTTTGACTTAATAGGTAGGTAGAAAGTATATGATACAGGATGCCAGTGGTGTAAGTATCTTTACAAACGTTCACTTAAGTTTTCAAACAGTTCACTGCAGGTTGCTCTTACCTTTGGATTGCTTAACTTTTGGAATCTGAATGCCACAAGAAAGGGGATTTTTAGTAACTGTGGATTCTATAAATTTCCAAAGCCATAGTTTTAACAAAGATGATGCTACAAAGCAGCTGTGTATGTTGACTTAAATCTTTAAAGAAGAAAGCTTGAAGTTGGTTTCTGGCCTTTAATACATACTTTTAGGAAAAGTTCTAGTTGCTGTTATTTTTGGAAATGGTTTCTGGGCAACAGATCCTTCAATCTGCTCTTTGTGTTATTTTGTTGTTTGGCTAAGATCCTCACATGGCTGCTGAAAAGCCGTCAGTCAGAACTGCAGGGAAGCAGAGGGCCTGCGTGTGGGCAGAGGGGAGCTGGCAGCTGTGACCCTGGGCCCCTTCAGTCAGGATAAATGTCCTTAGATCTTTGAGTCAGGTCCGTACTTTGGGCTGCTGCTGCACTACTTGCTGATTACTGATACCCTGTTTACTTCAAAGGTGAAGCTCATCCCTGCAAGAGGATGGGGACTTTAATGGGGCAAACCTGTGGGACTAGGAACCACTACAAATCTAACTGCATTTTTGGTTGAAGATTGCCTTCTTTGACCTTGCCCTTTTCTCAGAACACCCCACATTGCTGCACATGTATTTTTCCACAAGGGAGGAAGGGGAATGGAGAGGAGCGGCATCTGGTAGATATTACTCTCCTTGTTCAATTTCCTAATTCTGAAAGGTGATATCCTGCTGATGAGTGCAATATTAAAACTGAGTAAACTATTGCGAATGTATTTGTATGTATGTGTGAATAGAAAGAACGACCTTTCTGGGAAATAACAGTGCTTAGTTCAAAGCCAATTTAATATGTTCGATATCTAAATTTCATTTCAGATCACACAGTAGCTGTTCTCATGAAGTCCACAGTCAACTATATGTCTCCTATTGTGGCTACTTTTGTGGTTGGAATTAGTGAAATGTTAGTCACTTAGAATTTCATCCTTTTAGTTTGTCGTTCACTTTTGATTTTCTGGTGGTCACCAGAAATAATTTCTAATCCCGTAGCACGTCCCTTTCCTGTGTTTCTGTGTTTCCATTTTCATTAAATTCATTTTCTTACATCTGGTAGTGATAGGAGCAGAGAGAAGTTATGTTTCCAACCCTAGCACTGACTTTAATGCCATGTTTGCTTAACTACTCTGTCCCCACTATGGATCTGTGAAATGGGCACACCTGATTCCTTCAAAATACAGTGTCTGACGCTTAGCAGGTGTTAGGTATACTGAAGTCTTTGTGTATGTGCAGCATAATTCTCTTTGAGCATATTACTGTCTTTCCCATTACAGAAGTTTGTAACAGAAAGCCTTTTAATTAAGGGGGCATGTGCTGCATTGTTGTTCTTGGGGATGAAAAGGAAATGGCAGCTGTGAACTGTGTGAAGTCACTTAAAACTACTGTTAGTGGATGTGTGTTTAACTTACATGATTTGTATGTATAAAAAAAGCAGCCTTGAGTATTTTTTAGTTTGAGTTAAACTTAATATATTCACACTTCTAATGCTTCATGCTTGCAGAACAATATGACGCATTTGTGAAGTTCACGCATGATCAAATCATGCGACGATATGGAGAACAGCCTGCCAGTTGTGAGTATCTATTTCTTCTGGTTCCTTTAGCAGCATTAAATTACCAAATGTTCAATAATTGAAATGGCCACTGTTCGTTGTTAGCTTCAGCTAGACTCCAAGTTAAAATACTTTAAATTGGTAATAGGGAAGACTGAGGTTGGAAGGCAGATGTGAGAGAAAATGCAGCTTTTGTTTAAAACATCTAGAACTGTCTCCCGTCAGGTGCTGGATTTTTACTTTTGAAGCAGGTTTTGATATTGCTGTAGCAGGTTTGTGATAGAGCTGCTACATTTGTTAACTCCCATCATTAACTCTTTTTTTTTTTTTTTTTTTTTCTTCTCTTTCCAGACGTTTCATGAATCACACTTTCTGCATATGTGGGCTGCCCTATACACCCTGTTTTATTGTTGCAAGCTGTCCCAGTAAAGACTTGCAGCAATGCCATATTTTTTCCCCCTGTGAACACAGGTTATTTCAAGCTTTTGTCAGTGGCAACCACTCTTATGCAGCAACTGGTTTTGGAGTGCTCCCTGATGTCAGTACCACCTGGATGTGGACCTTTGCTACCTGTAATAATACCAGTGGCCTCATTTGCTGTATCATTACAATTTGGCTTCTTATGTTAATAAGTTTGAAAAAGTAAAGGATTAAAGCTGGTGTTCTAGAAGTTGCCCTTCACTGGTTGTGTAAATAAAAATGTAGAATGACACTTCTGACTGAAGTTAGTGTGGTTTTCATAACTGTGCACTACAACAAAGCTGTAATCACAGTTAAGTTAGAATGTAATCCCAGGACAATTTTAAGCAAATAGCCCACAGTACTGCCTGTGAAATAGTGAAGGAGGGCATTTCTGTATTCCATGACTTTTTTGGGGGTTAAGAATGGGTTTATATGATTTCTCATTTTTGTAGTTTTTATTTATTCTATCAGTCTTTAACAAATGTTTATTGCTGCAATTTTTCAGTGTATCATTGTTTTACTGCCCTTGTAGTACTGGAATTTAGTTGGAAGAATAAAACATTTACTTCTAATCTGTTTGTTTTTAATATGCAGGTGGAACTTTTGCTGTGTATGAATAAACTTAAATCTGAGTGTTTAAATGAAAACGTTATTTACTAGCGATAGTGGGTGGGTCAGAATTTTAGATCAGAAGGAGGATGTGGATGAAAATCTCAGGGAATTCTTCAGAGGCGAAGAAATCTTCCTTAGATTGGCTGTATAGTTTCCTGTTGTGGAGGCATGCTTGATACAGAGCTGGCAAGAAACTGTTGATTTAAGTTGCTGCGGCTGACTCAAACAGCTGTGCTTGTCTTCCTTCAGATTCAAATGACACATCAAAGGAAATATGTTCAGAAGATAGAGCAGGCTCTTGCACCACAAGCTGGAACTACGTAGGTATTGGAAGAGCTAAAGGCGTGTAGTCTTTGTGTTCAGGGTCAAGGAGTTTGTTGTTGGATGCATTCAGCTGTTTGCTGGCTGCTGCTGTCTGTGCAATTCGGAGTCTCGGTGTGAATTCCTGAAAAGTTACTACATGGCAAGTCCAGATCTGTGTGCTGTGGGGTAGAAGTATTGTTTACCAAATGACTTGAATTATCTGCTTTGGGGACTTCAAAGCAGTTTCAGAGTAATCCTTTGATTATAAACTGCTGTTTTCTCTAACTTACTGTTGTCTTCTGGTTAAGTGAAAGTCTGTTGTGTAATAGATCTTTTTACGATTTCAAATTAACAGAAGAGTTTTAGTTGAAATGTAATTGAAACTTCAGCTGGTAGATACATGCATTAAGTGGCTCATGCCGATGCTTACGATGTCAGAAAAGCCATGTGATGAGCTCTAGTTCTTGGTGAATTTTACTCACTTTGTGGTCAGATTACATGTTCAGAATTAGGCACATCACCACGGTATCAGAGTATTTTCCGCTCACTTTCCAGAAACCTAACTTACCCAAATATTTGGATTCTTTTTACTGTATTTTCAGAATCTCAGAAATAGGAGATCTCTGCTAGACTCCCCTTTTGGGTCTTCTGTTACCACAGTTAAAACTATTGGGCTGTAATTTCTTGTCTGCCTCAGGGTTCTCAGTCACTCTCCTTCCTGCTCCTCGTTTTCTTGACCTGTTGTTAACTTGCCCGGGGTAGGAAACCCACTGCTTCTAGGTGGACCTCTACACAAATTCCAGCATCCCGATAAATCTGTATCTGCTGTGTTCTAGAGGATCCTTGTTCTGACTCGATAGATATGTGTGTATGCCTAACTGATGGTTAGAGGTAGAATTAAGATACCAGCCATTGTGCTGGTCTCTGTGTCGCAGTTTATCTTTTCCTTTGGGATATTAAGAGTTATTATAAATAAGAAGTGATGTCATGTTAGCACCCGGCCACTCCTGTGCTGCTCCAAATTAATGCATAATAAGCAGTCTTCTGGCAGATTAAATATAATGCCACCATAGGTGCTTATGCATCACAGCTGTGGTATGCTTAATTTGTGCCTGTTTTGAAAATGAGGTTGCATTCTTGGAAATTTTTCATTTTTTAACCTGCTGCTTGTTCTGGCTTGGACTTTAAACTGGCTCCTTTTCCTAATCTTGGTGCCAATATCTGATGTGGTGAATTTCACATGAAAAGCTTGTCCTAACAAGTGACTTATTCTTTAGTAGGAAAATGGTGGGCTGCTTGATTACGGTTGAAAAAAAAGTAGGAAAATTGGGGTGCTGTGAGGGACAGGCTGGTGCTTGAAAACAAACCTGCTTTGGAGAGCCTTTACAGAGGCTTTTAAGTCAAGCAGAAATGTGTAAGATTCAGTAACTATCAGTTCTCAGCACTACATTTTGTGGTGGCCACGTTTAGAGTATTTTTGCAATTTGTATGTAACTGCAGTCTATGCAAAAGCAAAGCAAGCTGTGGACAGTTAATTGCAACTTAACAGTGAAACCAAAGATCTTGGTTAAGCTGTTTTAAGGTAGTGATGTGTAAAATCCTTTTCAAGCAGATCTCAGTTAGTGTATACTTAAAAAGCAGCATGTGCATCCTGACTGTTGATTTTTGTGTCTAGAAGTGAGAGCCTGTAAGATTCAGTGTTTTTCAAGGATAAATGACATTCAAGCAATCTCCTGTGCTGATGCTTGAGATCTGCCTGTGTACTCTTGAAGAGCGAGACTATTAGCATATTCTGGTTGGAAACAGTGTTTTGTAAAAGGTCTCTTCATTCCTGAGTTGGGAATGAGGAAGGATTTAGATCTTTGATTCCACAGTGGGGAGGAAAAAACTGAGGCTGGTAAAGTATTAAGAGTTTATGCTCTTGTTGTGAACAAGTGCTTGTGACCTTTGTATTGGAAGCCATTCTCTGAGATGAAAAATGTGAGGATGAATGTTTGGCTTTACAGGCACCTGGCTTATTTTTATATTTTACTGCTGTTGTAGCTCCAAGATAAAAGAAAAATCAAGTTTGTTTGAAACCAGTAGTGCAGTAGTGTAAAGAGGTGTCAAAGAACAGCATCTGTGGCAGTAGAGAAAAATGGTGAACTATGCAGATGAGTTAATTTACTTTCAGGTCTCACTTTTGGCAGTAGTTTTGTTGGAAAGATGTGGCTACTGGAGAATACAATACAGGTATCAGTTCAGAGGTGAGGCTTTACATTGTTACAGTTTCAGAACTAATACTGTAATACAGCCATTGGCGTTTTTTTCTTTTTTTTTTGGTCCTGCTTGCTTTCAGTGAACATTGCGGACAGAAGGTTTCCTGGAGTATCTGCAGAACATGTTATTACTCTGCAGACAGTTGTAGAAACTTAACGTTTGAAAATTACATACATATTTGCAGCTGAAATTTCTTGTGTATTTCAGCTAAGGTAGGTGAGGGTGAGTTTGGAATATTTACAATAAAAAAATGGTAAAATATAAAATATGAGGAGCCAAATGTAAAATTCATACTGTATTAGACAGATTATCTGCAAACAGCCTGGTGATATTAGACCCCTAGCACCAGGATTATGACACGGTACTTCTATGTGATTTTAGTCAAGTATTTCCCCTTTAACACGTTGCAGTTGTAAGTGCCGAATTAAAGATTTGATCCTGAGAAATTGTAGATGGCATCGCAAACATGTGGCTTTAAGCTTCAGAATGTATGTTAGTGGAAGGGAAGAAACAACCGTTAACTGTTAATTCTTCCGTGTTAAGGCCGTGTTGCCTGCGCATTTGGGGATTAAAAGCCACACGCAGTCGAGGCTTTTTCTTTCCACCAATGTCACCCTCCAGAGGTGTGAGCTGGTGTGGGCTCACCTTGCAGTGGGTGAGGGGCAGGAGGGGAGGCGGCAGGCAGGTGGCAGAGCACAGCTGTGTGGGTTTTGCTGCTCCCTTCCATTTGCCAAGCGTACTTGCAAGATAAATAGGCGAGGATTGGGACAGAGGAGGGCTGTTCAGTGCTCCCCTCCAACTGAAGCTTCTCACTTTCCTCTCTGCTGCCTGAAAGCCTTGCATCTGAAGAGCACTGCCATATAGGTCCTGTGGCTTGGTCTCTGGGGGAACAGTGGAATTTGGCTACCCTCCTGTCTTGGTGGAAGAAAGGAACTTTCACAACCGCTCCACTGAGATCCTAAAAATTCTTGCTCTGAGTTTTCATCGTTACGTTTCCCAAGTTGTATGTTTAGGCAGTACAAAGGCAGATGAGCTGCTTGTCCTCCTCAGCCTCATTGTGATTTGCCTGGCAACGTTTAGAACCGGGCCCTCCCTTAAGTACAGCAGGAAATGTTACTGTGTCTCTGCAATTAGCGCAATTGGGAAATCCATGACTCCTACCCTCTCCGAGGGTATTTAAAACAAGCCTCACCTATCTTACGTACATTCCTGGGTAAATGGCCTGCTAAGTTATAGGTTCTTGTAACAGGACTTCCCCCCTCCCCCAGTACAGATCTGGTTTCTGCGAGTGATTCAATCTTCGGCGC